GGCTTATTGGACCCTCACGGCGGACTCTTGGGGCCTCTAGAACGCCTCCTGGGGCCATCTTGGGGGTCTCTTGGAGCCACCTTGGAGCCTCTCTGGAACCTCTTGGGGGCCTCTTGGAGTCCTCTTGAAGCCTCTTGGGACCATCTTGGGCGCCTCTTTGGGCCTCATGGACGCCTCTTGGGGCCATCTTGCGCGCCTGTTGGGGCCATCTTGGGTTTTAAAGATTCATCAAGAGACCGCGAATGGATTTCGAGATTTTTCGGATGAGAAAGTAGTGCGTTTTCATATGTTTTCTGAACATCGCATCTTGAAATTATTGAAAACCCATTGTGTTTGGCAGGATTTCGACATGCGCGCGCGGCGGCCGCGCGCATGTGCACTTCGTCTCATTTTTTGCAAGGGATGGTGGCCCTCGCAGGCGCGCAACCGTTGTTGGAGAAGTTCAAAGCACCTGAAGAAGTAGCACGCAAAGACCCTTTTGACAGAAATGTTTAAAAAGTGGTGTGTTTCCTATGAATCCGCAAGAGCGCGCGGAAGGACATTTTGACAATTTTTTCTTAAAAAACCATTGGGTTTTTGATGTTTTTATGTTAAAATCGCTACGAAACCTAAGGTTTTGGAAGGATTTCGTCTTGCGAGCGCGAATGTCCACTTTACCTTATTTTTTGCAAGGGATTCTTGAAATTTGATCAACTAAGAACAAGAATTTTCATTTTCTATTGTTTTTTGCAAGGGAAAACGAGCGTCAACAAAAAACCGGATCCGGGGGTAATCCACTTTTCTGAAGCTTTCGCAGAAAAATGATGAAAATGTAGCTGCGGCCTAGGTTTTGGGCGGGGGGCGTGCACCAGGGGGTCCAACAATAATAATTCTTTAGAAGTAATAGTGTTCAACAACAACAACAACAACAACAACAACAACAACAACAACAACAACAACAGCAATAATGAAACAACAAACAACAGCAACAACAACAACAAAACAACAACAACAGCAGCAGCAACAGCAACAGCGACAGCGACAGCGATAGCGAAAACAACGACGATAACGACAACGATAACGCCAACAACAACATCATCAGCAACAACAACAACAGCAACAGCAACAATAACAGCAGCAACAAACGCAGCAACAACAACAACAACAAAAACAAAAACAACAATAGCAACAACAACAACGACAACAACAGTAACAACGACAACGACAACAACAACGACAACGACAACGACAACGACAACGACAACAACAACAACAACAACAACAACAGCAAACAACAACAACAACAACAACAACAACAACAACAACAACAACAACAACAACAACAACAACAACAACAACAATAATTACAACAACAACTACTACTACTACCAAAATTCTCCCGAGCCCTGCACCTCGATCCTCCCGCCCTTCCTGCGCGCCAGAGCCAATGCTGGGCCACCTCGGACACCAAGCCGGCTCCAAGTTCCAAGGGCTCCCAACTTCGCGCTTCGCACTCCGCGAAGCGCGAAGCGCGAATAACTTCGCGCTCTCGCGCCGCCCCGCCAACGGGAGGAAAGGAGGACGTGGAGGAAGGGGAGGGGGAACGAGGACCACGAAGCGCGAAGCGAGAATAGCTTCGCGCTCTCGTGGGAGCCCTTGACTAAGTTCACAGTCCCTCGCGATCCGGCGCAGACCTGTTGCGCCACAGCACGCTTCGCATTCCTCGCGATCCCCGTCGTCGGAGGCCCATCGGATGGGGTCCGCGCGGCTGGGCTCGGAGGGCCGCGCCGCACCCCCGGTGCATCGCCGGCGACGCCGGCGCTGCATCGGTGACGTCGGCACTGGCAGAATCGGGCCCCACGGCGAGCCGCATCGCCGACGCAGCGGCGATGCGGCGCGATCTTCCGACCCCGCCTACTCGGATCCCACATCTAGCCTTCGGTCGGGCCTGTCCCCCTAAAGGGGGATTTTCGACGAAAAATTAAAAATACTCAGAAAATACCCCAAAACGGTCAAATTACCCTGGCGACGTACCCAACCCCTGCGCAAACGCGGGGCGCGACGTCCCAGGCAAGCGGCGAACGTCCTGCTCCTCATTCGCCTCCTCCTCCTCCTCCGACTCCGCCGCCTCCTCCTGACCCGCAGCCCCTCCGGTCCAAGGATACGGAGGTCTATTGTGGATCCGCGTAGCGCGTCACTGTGCTGGGCCCCCCAGCAGGCCTCGAATGTGGCGACAGTTTCACAGATCGCAGCCTCCCAGGGATGACGAGGTCTAATTTGGGTCTGCGTGTGGCCTCAGTGTGCTGGGCCCCCCAGCAGGCCTCGAAAGTGGCGACAGTTTCACAGATCGCAGCCCCCCCAGGGATGGCGAGGCCTAATTTGAATCTGCGTGTGGCGTCACTGTGCTGGGCCCCCCAGCAGGCCTCGAAAGTGGCGACAGTTTCACAGATCGCAGCCCCCCAGGGATGGCGAGGTCTAATTTGAATCTGCCCGTGGCGTCACTGTGCTGGGCCCCCCAGCAGGCCTCGAAAGTGGCGACAGTTTCACAGATCGCAGCCCCCCAGGGATGGCGAGGTCTAATTTGAATCTGCCGTGGGTCACTGTGCTGGGCCCCCCAGCAGGCCTCGAAAGTGGCGACAGTTTCACAGATCGCAGCCCCCCCAGGGATGGCGAGGTCTAATTTGGGTCTGCGTGTGGCGTCACTGTGCTGGGCCCCCCAGCAGGCCTCGAAAGTGGCGACAGTTTCACAGATCGCAGCCCCCCAGGGATGGCGAGGTCTAATTTGAATCTGCGTGTGGCGTCACTGTGCTGGGCCCCCCAGCAGGCCTCGAAAGTGGCGACAGTTTCACAGATCGCAGCCCCCCAGGGATGGCGAGGTCTAATTTGAATCCGCGCGTGGCCCCACTGTGCTGGGCCCCCCAGCAGGCCTCGAAAGTGGCGACAGTTTCACAGATCGCAGCCCCCCAGGGATGGCGAGGTCTAATTTGAATCTGCCCGTGGCGTCACTGTGCTGGGCCCCCCAGCAGGCCTCGAAAGTGGCGACAGTTTCACAGATCGCAGCCCCCCAGGGATGGCGAGGTCTAATTTGAATCGCGCGTGGCGTCACTGTGCTGGGCCCCCCAGCAGGCCTCGAAAGTGGCGACAGTTTCACAGATCGCAGCCCCCCAGGGATGGCGAGGTCTAATTTGAATCTGCGTGTGGCGTCACTGTGCTGGGCCCCCCAGCAGGCCTCGAAAGTGGCGACAGTTTCACAGATCGCAGCCCCCCAGGGATGGCGAGGTCTAATTTGGGTCCGCCGTGGCGTCACTGTGCTGGGCCCCCCAGCAGGCCTCGAAAGTGGCGACAGTTTCACAGATCGCAGCCCCCCAGGGATGGCGAGGTCTAATTTGGGTCCGCCCGTGGCGTCACTGTGCTGGGCCCCCCAGCAGGCCTCGAAAGTGGCGACAGTTTCACAGATCGCAGCCCCCCAGGGATGGCGAGGTCTAATTTGTCCGCCCGTGGCGTCACTGTGCTGGGCCCCCCAGCAGGCCTCGAAAGTGGCGACAGTTTCACAGATCGCAGCCCCCCAGGGATGGCGAGGTCTAATTTGAATCTGCGTGTGGCCTCACTGTGCTGGGCCCCCCAGCAGGCCTCGAAAGTGGCGACAGTTTCACAGATCGCAGCCCCCCAGGGATGGCGAGGTCTAATTTGAATCTGCGGTGGCGTCACTGTGCTGGGCCCCCCAGCAGGCCTCGAAAGTGGCGACAGTTTCACAGATCGCAGCCCCCCAGGGATGGCGAGGTCTAATTTGAATCTGCCGTGGCCCACTGTGCTGGGCCCCCCAGCAGGCCTCGAAAGTGGCGACAGTTTCACAGATCGCAGCCCCCCAGGGATGGCGAGGTCTAATTTGAATCGCCCGTGGCGTCACTGTGCTGGGCCCCCCAGCAGGCCTCGAAAGTGGCGACAGTTTCACAGATCGCAGCCCCCCAGGGATGGCGAGGTCTAATTTGAATCCGCCGTGGCGTCACTGTGCTGGGCCCCCCAGCAGGCCTCGAAAGTGGCGACAGTTTCACAGATCGCAGCCCCCCAGGGATGGCGAGGTCTAATTTGAATCTGCGTGTGGCGCACTGTGCTGGGCCCCCCAGCAGGCCTCGAAAGTGGCGACAGTTTCACAGATCGCAGCCCCCCAGGGATGGCGAGGTCTAATTTGAATCCGCGTGTGGCGTCACTGTGCTGGGCCCCCCAGCAGGCCTCGAAAGTGGCGACAGTTTCACAGATCGCAGCCCCCCAGGGATGGCGAGGTCTAATTTGAATCTGCCGTGGCGTCACTGTGCTGGGCCCCCCAGCAGGCCTCGAAAGTGGCGACAGTTTCACAGATCGCAGCCCCCCGCAGGCAAGACAGGAGGAGGCAAGAGGGAAGCGGGAAGGAAGAAGGAAGGAGTGGAGACCACACTGCTCTATTCAAAACGAATACCCAACCAAGGAGGGTTGGGAAAAATACTCCAAAAAAAGTCCCCCGACTAATTTTCTACTATTTTTGAATACTCACCCTGTAGAGGGACAGGCCCGACATAAATCTAGCAACATCCGAACCTCCTCGGACCCCCTTTCCGGGGCGGCCAAAAGGAGGGTGATGACCAGGGGGGGGGGATATCATGGCGGGGACTTGGAGAACTCCCCAAATTTCCTGGCGCCTCTTCTTACTTTCCATACGTCCCCGGCACCGCCTCGGGGCCGCGCACGCGCCGCCAGTCATGACATGCGCCCCCTCCCGCTTTCGACGCCCCCCTCTCCCAGACATGCGACGTCCTGATTTTTTCAATACGGGGTCCCTGGAAGTCCCGACCCTTTCCCGGGACCAGCTTTTCATCCTGAGCCGTTTGTTTGACGGTCCCGAGGCCCGGCGAGGGCCCCCCGAGGCCGAAATTGGCCAACAATCTCCCGTCCTGCTTCTTAGACGACGCGATCATGCTCTGGCTTGCGCGCCCCCGAATGTGGAAGGCCGGCACCCATCGCGTGCCGGGCTGCCCCGAGCGGCGCGCTGCCCGAGCTGCTCGGGGAGCGCGCGCAGCTCGTTGCCCTGGCCGCGGGGCCACCGCGCGGAGGGCGGGCGGGCGGCGCACCGCGGGCCCCACCGCCGCCCGCCGACCTCTGGCAGGGTGCAGCGACCCAGAACGCGCGTCGCCAAGGGTCTCTACACAGGGGCCTCCCAGGTGTCGAGCAGGGTGCCGACGACAGGATCGATTCACCCCATAGCTGGAACTGCTCGTGGAGCCTTCGAAAAATATGCGCGGAAGGCCCCGTAGTAGTGCATTCTGCGCATTCGTTCGTAGATTCGACAGAAAATCAAACTCTGGGATAAATCAATTCTGTAGGCCCTCAGGAAGCTCCCAGGAGGCCCCAAGGGTGCCCCAAGAGGCTCCCTAGAGGCCTCCTCCTCCTCCACCTCCTACTCCTCTTCCTCTTCCTCTCTCTCCCTCTCATGATCCTCCCTCTCATCCTTCCCATAGTGTTCCCCCAAGAGGTTGCAGAGCGGCTGGGGGAACACATAGTCCGATGGCTTGGCCAAGCTCGGGTCCAACGTTTAGCCACAGAGGCGCTTCCCGAAGGCAGGGGGCGGCAGTGATTCGTCGTAGGCGTCTTCGAGATACATGTATATATATATATAGAGAGAGAGGGAGAGAGAGAGGTGTGTGTGTGTATGTCTCTCTCGCCGCCATGGGCATGGCACGTCTCCGAAATGGCCGAGGACCGCCCGAACAACGATTGCAAGATGCTCCTGCCGAGGACGGCAGCATGCTGCCCGCAACAAAAAGCAGCAGGGCTGGCCCTCCGGCTCCCTCCCGTCCTGCAGCAGCACGTCGCAGAGCTTGTCCATAGCGCAGAGGGAGTCTGGCAGCCGCGTGAGCCGATTCCTGCCCCCGCTCTCGACTCGAAGCCCACAAACCAGCGATGGCGGGCTCGACCTGCACGCCCCGCTCACCCTTCCGCCTCCACCCGTGCAACGGTCTCCGCTGAACCCCGCCCTGACCTTGCGACCCGCTATGCGATCATCAGTTTCGATGTCGCCTTTCTGCTGTATCCGCCACCATGCCCCCTGGCACGCTGAGGCGTGAACGTTCTCTTATTCGGCGTTTGGACGTTGGGCGGAAGGGAGGGGGGAGGGGGGGGGGTCTAACTCTGGACCTCTGCTTAGTGCGACTGTTTGCAGCAGTGCGTCCCATTTTTGGAGACTCCCCCTGCTCGAAACAGGCGCCAAAAAACAGCCAAGATCTACTCCAGGGGGGCGGGGAGGGGGGGTGGGGCGACGGCCCGCGCCGAGCGGCAAAACCATGAATCAAGAAACGATCACAGCGTGAAGACTGCACAGCGATGTTTGATAGGGCTTCTGCACTCTGCGACGAGGACCCCCCCCGCCCCATCTGCTCGCACCTCTGCGTGCACCGCCTCTCCCCTCCCCGAGGCGTCATGGGCGCCATGACGCCTCCCTGGCGCTCTCCATTCGGCGGCGAGCTCCTCCTCCTCCTCCTCCTCCTCCTCCTCCTCCTCCTCCTCCTCCGCCTCCGCCTCCTCCTCCTCCTCCTCCTCCTCCTCCTGCTCCTGCTCCTTCTCCTCTTCCTCCTGCTCCTCCTCTTCCTCCTCCTCCTTTTCATCCTCATCCTCCTCCTCCTCCTGTTCAGCCTCCTGCTCCGCCTCCTGCTCCTCCTCCTCCTCCGCCTCCTCCTTCTCCTCCTCCTCCTCCTGATCCTCCTCCTGCTCCTCCTCCTCCTCCTCCTCCTCCTCCTCCTCCTCCTCCGCCGCCTCACCCTCCCCAATGAGAAGGAGAACGCCTTCTCAGAAGGCGGCTGGACTTCTCAGAAGGCCTCTGGCCTCCTGAGAGGTTTTTGTTGCGTCTTCGGGGAAGGCTCAGAAAGCTTCTCGGAAGGCTGGGGGACGTCGGAGCCGTCTGAGAAGGCCCGCCCCTTCTCACTTCCCCCCTCGCTAGCCTCCAGGATGCCCAAGTTGCCAAGATGGCTTCCAAGGCGGCCCAGAAGGCCGCCAAGGCTGGCATGCTGGCCGAAGGTAAGTCCATGACGGCCCAAGCGGGCTTCAAGACGGCCCAAGATCAAGACGGCCCAGGGGGGGAGGGGGGGGCAATTACTTGCAGCCCACGAGAACTCCAAGATGGCCTCCAGGAGGGCCCGAAGAGGCCAAAGCAATAGATGGTCCTTAGGCGTGTGACTGACGTTCCCTGCCTAGCCTTTTCGGGCTTCCGCCAACCCAAGACGGGCCAGGCGGCCTCAAAGATGGCCCCAAGATGGCATCCAAGACGGCCTCAAGACAGCCCAAGGAGGCGCCAACTTTCATCCGAATAGATCCGCAAGACGACCCGCCCAAAACGGCCCAGAGAGACCCCCAAGACGAATGCCTAAGGCACCAGAATACCCAAGAGCGCCCCAGGATGGCCCAAGTGAGTCCCCAAGAGGCCCGGAGCGAACCCCAAGAGACCCCAAAGAGGCCCTAGTAGAGGAGGAAAGAAGAGGAAGGGAGGGAGACGACGACGACGACGACGACGACAAGCATGAAGAGAAGGACACACCGACACGACGCGGAAGAGCGTGTCACGTTGCACGGCTCTCCCGTGGGCCCCCTGTGCGTTCCCCGAACAATCGCCACCCGGAATCATGGGCTGGCACGGTAGCGGGACGTGCCGCAGGCAGCTTGGTAAGATGTCTCTCCTTCTCTTTGTGTTCTCTCTCGTTCTCTCTCTCTCTCTCTCTCTCTCTATATATAGCGTTCTCTCTGTGTATATATATATATATACAGACATACATCTGTACACATCGATCGGTAGGTCTCTATACACTGTAAGTACACGCATGTACATTGGTAGATATGAATATGTGAAACTATGTGTGTATATATATACACATATATATGTGTGACTGTATATATATATGTGCATGTGTATATATATATAATGGTATAGAATGTATATATATATATGCGTATATCGCGTATCCAAATATGTGAGTATGTAAGTGTGTATATATGTATGTAGATACACACATATATATGTATATATACCTATATGCATAGATGAGCGTGTCTGTATCTCCCTCTCTGGTGATCAGTAGGGACACGGATGGGGTGGTCAGGATCCAGTTGAAGGCAAACGGCACAAAATAAGACGACCAAAGGCCATTAGGTAATATCGTCGTCGATGATGATGGCTCGATCGCGCATCACCAACTCAAGGGTATGGTGTAGCGCGTCCGCCCTCGCCTACAACTGTAAGCCAAAAAGGGGCGAAGGAGGAGACCACTGTATCTGCGAGCGAGCGAGAGCGAGCAAGCAGCACCAGCAGCAAACAAACCACTGTCAGCTCACTGCGTAAAATGATACATCATATAAATAACGCTCACAGATGGTGTGATGGAGAAACTAGATTGGGACCGTAGCGACCCTACAAGTTAGCGGCGCGTCTGAACTTGAAGTCCGTGTGATGTCCTGCTTCGCTCCCTTGCTCAAAAGGGTCCGTTGGCGCAACGATGGAAAAAAACGCTGAGTTCTGAATAACGGGCAAAACATCCGACAAGTAAGCGTACGAAGCCATCTTCAGTTCTCACGTCCTGCTCGACCGAAGGTCCTGCAAGACAGACATTTCTCCTGGCGTGAGCAAAATCTTTCATGGGCGTGGAACAAATGGAAGAGGGGATGATGACCACCGACGCTTGCATGGCGGCCGCAGAGAGTGGAGTAAGACAGAGGAACAGGTTGCAGAAGCAGAAGCATAACCATGGGGTGAGCAGGGGGAGTAGAGGGGACTGGGCGGGGGGAAAGCATCCAGGGAATATTCGTGATGGGAAGGCACCTTCCCCAGCCATCCCGTACGCGCGGATGTTCTTCATCGACGTGTGGCCCGACATGTCCTCGGGCAGGCTCGTGAGCTCGTTTCCAGACACCTCGCGGCATGCAGGGTGGTGGGCCCTCCTACCCCCCGCCCCTCCCATTCCACCGCCTCCATTTCCTCCTCCTCATCCTCATCCTCATCTCACTCCTCCTCCACCCTCAGGAAAAATGATGGGGAGGAAGAGGGGGAAGGGGAGGGGGCAGCGGGAGACGCAGGGACAGAGAGATGAGAGGAGGGAGGAGAAGCGCGCAGGCAAGAAGGCAGAGGGGGATGACGACGATAAGGATGAGGAAGTGGACACGGACGGGGAAGACTAGGAGAGAATCGCACCGGCCCTTCAGGGCGTGAGTTGTTTAGAGAGGTTCATCTTCCATCTTCCCTCTTCCCTTCCGGGGAGGGGGTTATCACTGCACTGTTCCCTGTTCATGAACACCCCCTCCCCCAGGCGACCGGCAGCTGGCCAGGACCGATAAGACCCCCCCACAACATCCCTGTCAAAAACCATGTAAAGTCCACTTTGGGGCAAAATGTTGGGTAATGATCAGGGTGGGGGCGAGCACTTTATACTGTTTTGTTGACGGGGACGGCGGGGGTGCCCGCATATTGCCTACTGCGCGCAGGGACAGTATCCCACTCAAAAAACATACAACGTGCACTTCGAGACAAAATCTGGATCATGCGCGGGCACCCGGCGATCACTGTGCATTGGTTTTTGACTGGAACGGCGGGCGTGCTGGCATATTGCCTGCCATGCGCAGGCCACCTAGACGCTTTGACGGCCGCCCCGCCGCGATTGCGCGCACTGGTTTTCGACGAGGGTGGTGGGGGCTGACACGCTTCCCGATTTGTGCTGCCACGTGCGCAGGCGCACCTGGCACGCTCTGCGCATGCCCCGAACGTTGCGCACCTGGCGCGGCTGGCGCATGCGGCACACGTGACGCACGTGGATCACGTAGCGCATCTGGCGCACCAGGCGTCCTGGCACGCTTGGGCCACAGGGGTGCCTGGCACGCGTGGCGCACGTGGCGCGCGCGGCACGCATGGCGCACCTGGCCCCCGTTGCATATCATCAACGGAGCGAAGTACGGACGACAGGTGACATGGTCCATCGGGAATCGCGCGGATTACACGATTCGAGACCTTGATCCC